GGTATTTAAAAACTTTAGTTACTCAGATATTAAAAAATATTTGGAAAGTATGGAATTGAAATACTAGGTAATATCATTGGGGTCATGTAATTACCACAAACGCTTACAAGTAATGACTAAATTAGTAAATTTAAATAGACAGAGGCAGATTTTTCGTCCCTCAGTCGCACAACCACATCGCAAGTCTCTGTTATTTCGGCATTTGCACCTAGAGACATATTTGGTAGTCCGAAATACCAGAAATATCTAGGCAATAAATCAGGGACGGTCTACCAAGCCCCCGAGTGAATTCAATGAAGAACACTCGAGCTATCTAATCTCTTGCCAAGTGATTACGTTGGGAAATGACAAATAGCTTGATGCTACCCCTGCAGGCTACAGACGTAGAAGTACCAAACGAACCAAAAGAGAGGGATCTTCCAAACCACAGCAAACGCACCTGATTAAGCCATAATCTCAGAAATCACCAACAGGTGATGTACTAATAGGTATACACGTTGTCAAGAACGACGCCGTAGAGTCTTTCCAATGATCCACTGAGGCACTAGGGACATATTTGGTAGTCTGAAATACCTAATCAATAAATCATAGTCCCTCTGTATGTCGAGATAATGTGACAAAGGATGTCCAAAGTCAAATAAACCTAATAATTGCAACAAGTTATGTGACGTCCCTTAACCATCAATATGCATTCTGTTGAGATAACAACAGCACCGAGAATTACCATGAAGTAAAAGGCATACACATTCGTTACTAGGCTCCCGTAGAGCAATGAGACGAAATTTCACCAATTTACATTAATTCCATTCTCAGACCATAATGAAACGATCTACGAAATGACCCAACTACACGAACTACCCAACTACCTATACCCAACTACACGAAGAGTAAAAGATACTAAACGGGTTCAGGAGTCTAACATAAGTTGCTCTGCTACAGTACCCAGTAACTTCTTTTCAGATGGCAACAGCACCGGAGAGAGAATACAGACATAGCAGTCCTTTAATCAATATTCTCTCCCCTCGAATTTGGGTATAAACCACAACCACTACGTGTATACCGAAAGAATCTCAACCAACCGTAGTACCAGATTATCTGGCACTCTGGTTCGACCTCATGTTATGAAATTCCAGTTTATAGTCCCGGCAGACTAGAGACCTCTCTAATAACCGAGACAAGACTATATAAGGAACTCTGCCCTGTGGGTTATCGGTTCTCGTGATGCCAAATTATATGGCTCCCTGGTTCTACCCCAGGTCAAATTATACCAAGGAAAGCAAGGAAAACCTTCGACAGCAAGCATATGTATGTAATTATTTGTATAGAGCGACGACAAGCCACGCAAAGCTTGTGCCTTAACTTTGCAAACAATTTTAACAAAAATTACTTCAATAGTATTAACCAACCCTCATTAGGAAATGGAGGAAATTAAACAATTAGACACTTTAAATATTCCAGCTCAATAGCTAGTGTTAAAGGTCAGTTATGTGGTGATACATTAAATTAATAAATTTAAGCAATTTTTCACTTTACTTAACATTTTCTACACTTCTTTCTCTTTTCCAGCCATTAAAGCTTTAATATGAATTAATCTTTTCAAAAAAAACTCATAAGCACAAATAGATAAATAAGTTTGTATGTGTGTGTGTGTGAGTGAGAATTAATGTGCACACACAAATGTACTAAAATAAAGTATTTAACTGTAATTTTTTGGAATTCATGTCACAAAACTTAAGTACTTTATGTATTTTATTTTAGTTTGTGAATGTGGACAAAATAAAAATAATAACAAATAAACAGAAAAAAAGCAACAATAAGTACCAAAAACAAAAGAAAATGAAACAACAAAAACAAAATAAAAACTGATGACGCGTAAAAAAAGCACTACATACTCAACTCAGGAAAATAGAGAAAATTCAAACAAACTCACACAACTACAGACAAAATATTCACTATAAAAACAGTTAGAATGAGAAAAAAAAAGAACAGTTAAAACATAAAATAGAGCAGCATATTTATGAATACAACAACAGCAAACTCATATGAATGAATAGAATAAAACAGTAAACATACACTACATACTCATATTTTTATAGTTAAAGTATCTCTATTTTCTCGAATAATGAAAAATGAAATGATAATAGAAAAAAATTTAAAAATAAAGTCATCAAATGATAGTTTGCAGTTCATGTAAGAACGACATAAAAATACTCATACACACTCTTATTCTCCATATAACAATACAAAATTGTTATAAAGAATTTAAAGTTTTTTTTTAATTTTTGTCGGTAGACAACAGCTGCTTAATATTTAACAGCGACAAAAAAAAACTGTATAGAAAAACACACACCTTAATAATGCGAAAAACACACGCACATATCCGCAACTAACAAACCAACAAAAATTCTATTCGGAAATATTTTTCTAAGCTTTAAGGTCACTCTAGAGTACATTTACATACAAATGACACTAACGACTTTTTATGGTTTTGTACAGAGCTAAAGAAAATAGCGCTGAAAAACTGCAGTTTCCACTAATAAAATATATACACGCACATCCCAACATGTATGATGATAATGGCAGAGTTGTAAAGGAAGGATAGTTTGACTTATTGGGGGTATAATTTTAAAATTACGAATTTATTCCATAAAGTCAAAAGTCTAGTCAAGTCTATAATCACGTCTATAGTATAACCAATATTCTAATCTATACACTAGTATATATTCAAGCCTTCTGTCTAGTCTATAGTCTAGCCTATAGTCTAGTCTATAGTCTAGTCTATAGTCTAGTCTATAGTCTAGTTTATAGTATAGTCTATAGTCTAGTCTATAGTCTAGTCTATAGTCTAGTCTATAATCTAGTCTATAGTCTTGTCTATAGTCTAGTCTATAGTCTAGTCTATGGTCTAGTCTACAGTCTAGTCTACAGTCTCGTCTATAGTCTAGTCTACAGTCTAGTCTACAGTCTAGTCTATAGTCTAGTCTATAGTCTAGTCTATAGTCTAGTCTATAGTCTAGTCTATAGTCTAGTCTATATTCTAGTCTATAGTCTAGTCTATAGTCAAGTCTATAGTTTAGTCTATAGTTTAGTCTATAGTCTAGTCTATAGTCTAGTCTATAGTCTAGTCTAGTAGAATATAGTATAGTATAGTGTAGTCTATTCTGTTTTCCAGTCTGTAGTCTAGTCTAAATTCTAGTCAATTGTATAGTTTACAAACTATTCTAATCTAATATCTACTTCATTGTATAGCCTATAGTCTAGTCTATAGTATAGACAATAATCTAGTCTATAGTCTGGTATATAGTGTATTCTATAGTGTAGTTTATAGCTTAAAATATAGCCTAGTCAATAGTCTAATACAAAGTCTAGTGTACAGTCTAGGCTATAGCCCAGTCCATCGTTAAGTCTATAGTCTAGTTTAATATAATGTCTGGTCAGTAGTCTAGTCTGTAGTCTAGAAAATTGTATAGTCTATAGTGTAGTCTATAGTATACTCTAGTATGTGTATATTATAGTTTATATTGTATTCTATATTGTATTCTATATTGTAGTTTATAGTCTAGTCTATAGTCTACAATATAGTTTAGTGTATAGATTATTCTATAGTCTGGTATAAAGGTTAGCCTGTACTCTAGTCTATAGTGTGGTCAATAGTCTAGTTTATAGTCTTGCCTATAGCCTACTCTATAGTATAGTCTATGGTCCAGTCTATAGTCTTCTCTATAGTTTATACTATAGTCTAGTGTATTATCTCGTGTAGTGTATATTGTAGATTGGTCTTTACTCTTGCCTATAGTGTAGTTTATGATCTATTTTATTTTCTAGTCTAGAGTATAGTCTATATTCTAACCCATTGTCCATATAGTCTGATCTAAAGGGCAGGTTTAAGTTGGTGATGATTTAGTTAACCAAATTCGAGTAAGAAAAATTTTTGTAATTTGCAAATTTTCTTTAGTCTTGTATCATTCCATTATTTTACTTCTATTCAAAAAATATTTACAAAATTTTAAACATTCTAGTGAATTTTCGTTTAAAACTAAACAACGAATACCTTTAAATCTCTACTATTACAAAAATATATAGACAAAAAAATTCAAAAAGAAAAACTAAGAATAGAGATGTTATTTTTTTTTTTTTTTCATTTTTTTATTTGTTTGTTTTCATTATTTCTATTTACAAAAGACCACTCCCTCGAAAAAAATTGCAAATAACAAAAACCTACTTGAAAAAAAAAAAGAAAAAAAACAAATACAAAAACATTTTAAAATACAGACACACACTGCTACAAAAATAACCAATCCAGACAATATGGAGAATGTATTGCTAGAAAAAATTTAATAATTTCCTGTTAGGTTACATATTTTTTGACAAATACCCCTTCAAACGAGAGCTAAATCTGCACAAACTTGGAAACGGAAATTGGAAATGGCAAAATGACAAGCAAAGCAAATACAAATACACAACGAACAACAGACTTTGCAGATAAAAATTCCAATTGGAAAATAAAAACAAAAAATTGAAAATGGAATTTTTATAAAAACATTTTTAAGGGTTGGGCTGTGTTTTCTATAAGATATTTGAGTTATTTTGTGTTTGTGTATATTGTTATCAGTGCTGGGCTATTGTTGTTGCTTTTGTTATCTTTATTTGTAGTCTAATATGAACCGCAGACGCACTAGTAACCAGCCAGCCAGCCAAAGCTCAACCAACCATTCATGAAGTGAACACAATAACACCCCTTAAAATGCAATGGAAACAACAATACAACAACAATAGCAAAGAAAGCTGCACACTATAGCAACTACTATAGCGTTTATACTAACCACCACCAACACCTTCATTATCAGCAAATAACGGTATTACTACCACTCACTCACTCTCTTATTAACACACTTCACGACTCTCCTATACACACCACTTCATTTGCTCTATCGGTACGAATACTTTGATAAACACTTGCTCTCACCTCTAGATTTAGTTGAATTCGCATCGTGGTACTGATACCGTTATAAACTGACAACGGAAAAACTAAACTTAAATATAAGTAAATTTTCAAATACAGCGGTTAAAAAAAAATTGAAAAAAAAAAAATAACTACACATACATCCAACAACCAAAAGCACGCAAAAACCAAATCAAATGTGTTTCAAAAAAATCAAAACGGAAATTAAAACAAACTAAATTTAAGGAAATGAAAATAAACCTACACACACACACATACAAAGTTTCAAATTAAATTAAACCAAGTTTAAACTTTTTATAAAACAAACTAAAAACTACGAGACAAGGTCACCGTCGCACCGTATAACGCCAAACCGTAATTAATTGTTAAACGTGCAGCGCTACAAAACAATTGGTGGCAAGCACTATTTATATGGAATTTAAGTTATTAGTGCCACAGTGAAAAAGTGAAACAATTTAAAAGAAAAAATTAAAATCCTTAATTTATGTTTTTCCTTAAATTTTTTATAATTTGGATCCATTAATCTGTGATATATTTTAAAACAACTATGCCAGCAACATTTTAATAAAAATATTCAATTGATTTTTTTAATAAACAAAAACAAAATTAATGCCTATTTTTAAAAAAATTTCCTATAAGAATTTAAATTGATTAAATTCTTTGTTGCAACACCGATAGTTTGTTGCAGCATGGAACTTTTGAAATTAATGATGTTCAAAAGTGACTTTTTGTCAAGTGATAAATGTGATGATCGTGTACCGCCTATAAATTTAAGTCAATTGCCTGAATTTTTATTGTGTAAGTGTTTGAAATAAAACGTTATATATAACTCTAAAACAATTTTAAATATTTAAATAAGATTTTTTGAAAACAAAAAAAAAATATACGAAAATCCAATAAGAATTTTGGCCTCCAATAAAAAACTTATATTTAAACCTCAATTTTGAAGAGTTTTTAATTAAATTCAACAAGTTAAAAAAAAAACTGATTTCTTAATCAGTGAAAATTTTGGATTAAAAAGCATTTTGGATTAAAAAAAACTGTAAATAAAAAAAATAAAATATCAAAAGCCATTTCTGAGTCTAAAACTTTCGGTTAAAACAATATATAAGCAATTTGTAATGAACATTTGGGAACTTTAGCTCAATTTCCAAAGATATTCATTGTTTTCAACAAGTTTTTTGAATCCACTCAATAAACATACAGAAAGGTCAAAATATGGAAAAAAAATCCAAACTTCTCTAAGGGATCGAGCTACACTGTATCCGAATCAGAGCTCTGATTTTCTCTATGCAATCAGGTTTTTGAGATATCTTAGCAGGATATGATAACCAATTATCTGGTGTTACTACTTACCAACTGGAATACTGAAAGTGGTCTAGGGGTAAATCTACAGCAAAGATCAATATTCTAAGAGATTAAACACAGCAAAATTTCTTTATTGAAAAATGCAGAATATCTCGGTATTATCCTGGACCTTAAATTCAATACATAGTGAATGAATTTACACGACTACTGTATATTCCATTTGCATATAGATATACATAGAAGATTTCTGGCATGGTCAACCGCTGGTTTCAATACATACCAATGTGAGACATCTTTCAATTCAAAATCCTATCCATTGGCTTCAATATAAAGCGAGAACGGTGTTTTGCTTCTAATATTAAGCTAAGATGTATGAAAATCTGATGTGTGTGGGAAATTTTTTATCAGGTCAAATTCCGAATTAGTAAGCTCAATCCCTTCGAACAGTCGGATAAAAAGTTGTTGTCCAGTTTAATTTAACTTGTCTCATTTATGATCCTACAAATGGTAATATAACTTGTCTCATTTATGACCCGACAAATGTTGATTAGAAAGCTAATATGATAGAAAGTTAATATGATATGTTAACGCAAATAGATTCCTTAAAAATAAGTTCTCATTTACTGCCAATATACCGACGGAAATCATCGAATGTTCCTCAAATATCTTTAAATCAATGATTAAATCATATTTAAACATTTGCTGCAATCTCAACCGATTCTAGTCGTCGAATTTCTAATAAAATAGACCAACAGATCTGTTGGTTGGTTATCATGGTACTTCACTATGCGCAAACAATCAAGTAGAATCGAATTTTGACAACACCTCTCGTCATTGTAATGTATATAAATGTATTATTAGAACCAGCCGGGAGAAATCTCAATTTCTAGACCCATATAACTCGCCAAGGTTGGATATAATGTAGTTGCATCCATCACAGATATGATGGAAACCCGTTTCTTCCACCTAGTTGCTTAGTGAGTTTTTAATTGAAAGTGGGCTACACTAACTCGAACACTACATGTGTTCAGATTGTTCCGTCTTTTTCAAACTTTTGAAGAAATTATCTGAGAATATCACTTTTAGTGATTTTAATGTAAGAAACGATGTATGGCTATCGACGAAAAGATCAATATTGACATGAATATGGAGGACATATCATATCTTTACAGGCCTGTTACAGAATACCTAAATAAAAAGTGTTAATGATACCGTTACTAAGAGCAGGATCGCTCTTATTATAAAGTATTCAAAACTAAAACAATTCAGATAATTTAATTGCTCGATTAAAGGCGACGGAAACTTAAACCTTTTTTTTAAAACATCTAATAAATCTTGGGATGTTTTCGAATACTTGATTTCATTTGAAGCTGATTTGCCGGCGATAGTTCTAGTTATGTTCTAGTTATTTCGTAAAAAAGTTGATATTCGATGTTATTTTTAAAATCGATTTGAAAGTTTGATGAATTTAGTTGATGATGCGAAATAAAGACCATGGGGTTATTGGATATTTTTTTTTTTTTTTAATTTCGGTTTTACTCAATTTATCATGGAACTATTGGGTCAAAGATCTGGGAGTTTCCTTGTAACATCACAATCGTGTTCTAGTTGCTTTACTTCTACTTATTTAGATCAAATCCTCTACCACTAGTTGGATCAAATATGGCTTCCTGCTATTTATTGGTTAACTGAACGTAGAACGGAATTTTCATTACATTTTCAGATATCGATTTCAGATATAACATACATTTTTAAGTCTAACCCCCATTTTCACAATGTCTGATTATTTTTTATCCTAACGATAAATTGGCAGTTTTTATACATAAAAAAGACTTGACTTTAATTTTATAGTTTGAAAACTATGTGCTGCATGTGATCCTTAGTATACCTAGTGTCAAAGTAAATAATATTGAAGCTTTTTTTTGAGTTTAACCAAAAATATGATACAAAATTTGGATTTTAATTCGGAAGTATTTTTATACTATTGCTTATAAGTGATTCAATAATAAGGACACCTTGTATGGGGACAAATGAGACCCGATCATGAAACAAAGTTTTGCTGATTTTTATAGAGATACTAGAACATTTAGCATAATTATGAGCTTAAAAGCACTATTTGGGGATACAGTTTAATATGGGGGCTAGGTGAAATAATGTAGGTGAAATAAGCCACGTCCTTGGGTAAATTTTTTGACTTTAAAAATTTTTAACTAGAAAGATTCCGTGTTTCAGAGAAAAACTTATTTTTCTAAAAATTTGCAATAAGAAACATAGTTATGAATATTTGTAACAATATCGGTCGTAGAGGACAGAAGGTATATGGATATTCTAATAATGTCAATCCATAACTAAAAAACGTAACATTGTCCTATTGAAACCACATTTTAGTAATATCTATAACATCAATAAAGAACAACATTTTGTTCTTACCATCTCTCGATAGTGTGAACCATTTACCATAGACGCAATTTTAACCGAATTCGGATCATTTTAAGTACTATGCGTCACAACAGTGTGTGCATGGCACACACAATTATGCACCAATTTTTTAATAAATCCTTATAACTGCGTCAATATTATTATTGAAAACAACTCCTAAAAACATAAATTTACTTTATTCCGGGACCTTCCTCAACTTCATAAATCTATATACATACATATACCAAATTCTTACGTTACTGACTCACTGACTGACTGATTCATTGTCGCACAGCCTAAACGGTTGAAGCAAAAGAGCTGAAATTTGGTCTCCCACCAAACAGACCCACTAAGACGGGATTTATGCTTATCGTCGTTCATTTCAAAAATAAGCGAATATGTGTCTGTTACTTTTTTCAAATTCGGATTAAACGGTTAAAAACTGTATTTTTTGCACCCCATGTATCTTTTAATCTAGTGAACATACAAAAAATATTTTTGACTCCTTCATAACTTAACGAAAACAAGTTAGAGTGCTATATTCGGCTCAGCCGAATCTTAAATACTCTCCACCAGCTACTTTTATATTAATATTTTTCTAATTGATCAAATATTTGTAGAAATAAGTTTTCTCACGTCTTAAATAGAAAAAATCTCAAGATTTAAACAGCTTAAATCTATTACAATTCCAAGATTTATTAAACATTACAAACGGCATTTTCTTTATATGTATTTTTATAGCGCTTAGCGATATTTAGTAACTTGCATGTATGCGTGTGTGAAAGTTTTAAGGATTTTCCAAATACATATATATAATTTTGTTCTACACAAATTGATAATGCTAATGATAACTAGTTAAATACGGTTAAAGCGCTTTTAGGGGCAGGACCTAGTATGGGGGATATGACCAATTATAGACCGATCGTAAAATATTCTTTAAGCAAAATTTCTGTACATAAAAGCTATATTTCAGTCAAATTTTGTATATATATCGTAATTTAGTAATAAGTAATGTATGTTTATGTGATTTTCTGAAGGGAACCTTGTATGGGACCGACCGCACCGGTGTTATGAACCGATCGTGAAAATTCTTGAAATATAATTTTTGTATACAAAACTAATATTTGTGCCAAATTTTGTATCAATAGCTTTATTTGGTAATGAGTAATGTGCGTTTAAAAGATTTTCGTAAAAGGACCTTGTATGTGAGCTATGACCAATTATGTATATAAAGACAAAATTTAAAAATTCTGTATATATATCATTATTTGGTAATGAAAAGTGATTTTCTGGAGAGCTATGACCAAATATGGACAGATCGTAAAACAATTTTATAGTTTAATTTATATATATAAGAGCAATATTTTTGCTAAATGTATGGATATCAATATTTGGTAATGAGTTATGTGCGTTTAAGTGATTTTCGGGAATGAACCTTTTATGTGAGCTATGACCAAGGATAGACAGATCGTGAAAAAATTTTGAAATAAAATTTATGTGTACAAAAATAGTATTTATGCCAAATATTTTATGGGTAACACTATTTGGTAATGAGCTATGTGCCTTTAAGTATTTTTCTATGTGCCTTAAGTGTTTTTCTGAAAGGGACCTTGTATGGAGCTATGATCAATTATGGACCGATAGAAAAACAATTTCACAGTAATATTTCTGTACATATAAGCAATACTTGTACCAAATTTTTATGTGGATATCTTAATTTAGTAATGCGCGTTTAAGTGATTTTCGGGAGGGGACCTTGTATGGGAGCTATGATCAATTATGGACCGATCCAAAAAAAACTTTCTTAGTAAAATTTCTGTATATAAGAGCAATACTTGTACCAAATTTTATGTGGATATCTTAATTTAGTAATGAGTTATGCGCGTTTAAGTCATTTTCGAAAGGGGACCTTGTATGGGAGCTATGTCCAATTATGGACCGATCCAAAAAGTTTTTCTCTGGATCAATTCTGTTGACATAAGATTTTAATTTGTAAAATTTTGTGAAGATATCGACATTGTGACCGAAGTTATTAACAAAAAACTCATTTTCCGGGAATATGTACTTTTGTATGGGAGGTATATGAAATTGAGGACCGATTCTTACAATTTTCAACAGTAATTAAACTCTTATGCAGAAACGAATGTATGGTAATTTTCATGGAAGTATCTTGCATAGTTTTCGAGAAAATTACATCAAAATATGTAAAAAATGCTTATTTTTTTCGAGGTTGTTTTAAATTTTGATTCATAACTTTTCCCGGTGTGAACCGATTTTGCTCATTTTCAATACCAAACTGCTTAGGGCAATAGTGAATATTTTCCATGAATTTGGTTGATTTACTTTGCTTCGTTTTAACGTGAGCGTATTTTATACAGACGGACAGACAGACATAGCTAAATCGACTCAGAATTTCATAAGGACCATTGGGTCTCAGATGAATATTTCTCTGTGTTACAAACGGAATGACAAACTTATATATACCCTCTATCACCACTGATGGTGGTGTAGGGTATAAAAACAAAAATACGAATTTAGTACTTTTTGGATATTCGGACGTTTATGGGCTGAAAATTTTACCTATTTTTTTGGAACTTTTTGCATAAAACAGTGTTTCCTATGTATTGATTTGTACATGTGAAAGATTACTTAATGATGGGCTCCCACTACGATATTGCAACTTTTGGGAATGCTACTTGCAACTCCGGTACAAAGGACTATTTTTTGGTCGTTTTTCGTTTCTCAATCTGGTACTTTTTGTGTTTTTTATAATATTGATCCTAGAAACATGAAAATAAGCATATGGATTCCGGAGTTAATGAAAATCTATAAAAGGAGAATTTTTGGTACTTTTTCGTTCTTTAATAATTACGTTTTAAATTTTTTATAATAATGAACCTAGAAACATACAATTAAGCATGTAGAGCCAGGAGTAAATGAGAACCTATAAAAGGGGACCTTTTGGTACTTTTTCGTTCTTTAACTGGTACTTTCGGTCTTCAAAAGGTACTTTTTGAATTTTCTATAATATTAAACATAGAATGATGAAATTAAGCATGTAGATCCCGGAGTAAACAAAAACCTATAAAAGGGGACTTTTTGGTACTTTATCGTTTTTTAACTGGTACTTTAAGAGGATTTTATAATAGTGAACAGAGAATAATCATGTAGAGGCCCGGAGTAAATGAGAACATATAAATGGGATCCTTTTGGTACTTTTTTGCTATTCAACTGATACTTTTTCAGTTTTCTATTATAATGAACTTAGAAACATCAAATGAAGCAATCAGGAACTTGGGCGAATGAAAATTTAAAATGGAGTATTTGCTGAGTACTTTTGGGCCGGAGCTTCGAAGGTACTTATCAGTGACAGTAGGGTATCCAACTCTATTGATTCACTGGAGCACCGTCGCAACGTGGGGTGTATTTCTCTGTTCTATCGCTACTATAATGGAATGTGTTAATTTGAAATTATAAAACTCGTTCCCGATAGCCATATATTTTTACGCAGCACACGACTCTCATCAAGAACACAAGCATTTGTGGTCGATTGGCCAGTGGAAAGCACAGCACTTTACAGAGAAAATTCATTCTTCAGCCGCACTGTTCGTATGTGGAACAAACTTCCTGCAGAAGTATTCCCCGCCACTTTCGATGTGAAAAGGTTAAATCAAATGTCCACAAACACTACTAACTCTTTCCTCCCTCCCACAACCGATTTTCCTAGTTCCAGCACAATGCACTGCATGAGTAGGAGTCATCCCCTGAATGCTGGTTCAAGAAAAAAAGGCACTATCGTTCTTTAACTGCATTTTTTGAATTTCCTCTAATATTGAGACTAGAGTCATAAAATCATACTTATAGCGTCTTTATTGAAAGGGGACTTTCATAGATTTTCAATATTGAACCTATAAATCAGTATGAAAATCTATAAAAGGGGATATCGCAGATACATATATGTATATACATTTTGAATAATATTTATTTAATTCCATTACGATGAGAGTAGCGAAGCACACTGGTTATAGCTAGTACTTAATAAAGTTGTTGAGTTGTTTATTGTAGGTATTTTATATGCCAAATCTGGGTAATAAAGTAAGGAGCTAAATGTTTTATGCAAAAGTTGTGTTATAAATATGATTAAAATCCCTCAAACCCCAACATTATTAAACATACATATATAGGACTTTTCATAACATAAGAAAAGTATTTCAAATACCTTTCTTTTGATGTACATATAATATATGTACGTATCTAAAGAATATTCCCTTTAAGATGTTTCCAAAACAGAGGAAAACTCAATAATTATAACAAACACAAAAAAATCTCAAGAAGGTGAGGCCTATAAAAAGGCACTTTTTTCTACTTTATGTAAACTTATATTTTATTGTCCTTGGTGAAAAAATATGCTTTTTTGAGGAATATTTCTAACCTATGTTATTTAAATATAGAACGAGTATGTTTGTCATAATGCTCTTATAAGTAAAAACAATGTTACTATTGTGCATTAGAATGGCACTTTGAAGGAGTGTCATATGTGGAATAAAAGGTGTGACTGTCATTGTTAAGAGCAGTTTTGTATAACAAAACCATAAAATTTACAAAAGTAACAAACGTGTGTCGATTAACAATGTATGTATGTATATCCCTTTTCTTCCTTTATAGTAAAAATTAGGTTAAAAGAATGAATAAACGTCATTATCGTGTTTTCATTAAGAATGATAATTTTACCTAGAATTAAGAAATAAAAATAAATTTTAAAAATCTTTAAGTTACGAAATCTATAGGTATTTTGTTTGTAAAAGTGTCAATTTATAATTTATAGAATTATTTGTTACCCAAAATCACTTATCAAATCGTCCTTATAGTACATACATACAAACAAATACATGTATTTACTTCGTTATCCTTGTAACATTTATTTTAAGATTTGTTTCTCCTTTTTCTTTATATTCATCAATTTTACTCATGTTTTTCCTCTCTATCTCTCCCTTCATTATTTATTTACAGCAACGATACCAAAATGTGGAGGCTGTCATGAACTGATATTGGATCGATTTATTTTAAAGGTGCTGGAACGTACGTGGCATGCGAAATGTTTACAGTGTAGCGAGTGTCATGCCCAGTTAAATGATAAATGTTTTGCCCGTAATGGACAATTATTTTGTAAAGAAGATTTTTTTAAGTAAGTAAATTTCCGTACATTTTATTAAGATTTTTCTTTAGGTACATTGAATCTAATTAGAATAAAGGCAGTATTTTGCAAGGAATTTACTCATATTAAATCCTTAGACACGATAAGTTAAAGCATCCTAAAGATTCAAACTAAGTACATACTTTCCAATCCTAAAAATTCTAATTTCAAAATACTGCTACAATTTAATTAATTATTCAATATTTAATATCTTAAAAATTTTTTATAAACATAATTGATTAATAATAACCACCCTTTGTCTATTCCCAATGTTTGGGTCTTCTAACAGGCGTTACGGAACTAAATGTTCCGCTTGTGATATGGGTATACCGCCAACTCAAGTAGTGAGACGGGCTCAAGATAATGTCTATCACCTGCAATGTTTCCTATGCGCCATCTGTTCGCGTACCCTAAATACCGGCGATGAATTCTACCTCATGGAAGATAGAAAACTTGTGTGTAAACGTGATTATGATGAGGCTAAAGCGAAAGGTTGGTTAATTGTTAAACATTTAAAGTAATTATTTTCTAATATTCTATATGGTCTATAAATCTACAGGTTTATATTTGGATGGTTCCTTAGATGGTGACCAACCGAATAAACGACCGCGCACCACAATCACTGCTAAACAATTGGAAACGTTAAAAACCGCCTACAATAATAGTCCGAAACCTGCGCGACATGTACGTGAACAGCTGTCACAGGATACGGGTCTAGATATGAGAGTAGTACAAGTCTGGTTTCAAAATAGGTAAGTTGTTTTAATTAAATTTCGTCTAATTTATTGGCTGCTATATACTATAGGATACAGTCTGGACTGTAGCCAAGCACATAATCTGATCTGTAGTCAGACTAGTCTATAGTATAGTCTATAGTATAGTCTATAGTCTAGTCTATAGTATTAGTCTATAGTCTTGTCTCTAGTCTAGTCTATAGTCTAGTCTATCGTCTCGTCTATAGTCTAGTCTATAGTTCTAGTCTTATAGCTTAGTTCTAATAGTCTAGTACTATAGGTCTAGTCTATAGTCTAGTCTATAGTCTTAGTCTATAGTCTAGTCTATAGTCTAGTCTATAGTCTAGTCTATAGTCTAGTCTTATAGTCTAGTCTCTAGTCTCGTCTATAGTCTAGTTATTAGTCTAGTCTATAGTCTAGTCTATAGTCTAGTCATCGTCTAGTCTATAGTCTAGTCTATAGTCTAGTGCTATAGTCTAGTCTATAGTCTAGTCTATAGGTCCTAGTCTATAGTTAGTCTTATAGTCTATAGTCTAGTCTAGTCTAGTCTATAGTCTAGTCTATAGTCTAGTCTATAGTCTAGTCTATAGTCTAGTCTATAGTCTAGTCTATAGTCTAGTCTATAGTCTAGTCTATAGTCTAGTCTATAGTCTAGTCTATAGTCTAGTCTATAGTCTAGTCTACTAGTCTAGTCTATAGTCTAGTCTATAGTCTAGTCTATAGTCTAGTCTATAGTCTAGTCTATAGTCTAGTCTATAGTCTAGTCTAGTCTATAGTCTAGTCTATAGTCTAGTCTATAGTCTAGTCTATAGTCTAGTCTATAGTCTAGTCTATAGTCTAGTCTATAGTCTAGTCTATAGTCTAGTCTATAGTCTAGTCTATAGTCTAGTCTATAGTCTAGTCTATAGTCTAGTCTATAGTCTAGTCTATAGTCAAGTCTATAGTCTAGTCTATAGTCTAGTCTATAGTCAAGTCTATAGTCTAGTCTATAGTCTAGTCTATAGTCAAGTCTATAGTCTAGTCAATAGTCAAGTCTATAGTCTAGTCTATAGTCTAGTCTGTAGTCTAGTCTATAGTCTAGTCTATAGTCTAGTCTATAGTCTAGTCTATAGTCTAGTCTATAATCTAGTCTATAATCTAGTCTATAGTCTAGTCTATAGTCTAGTCTATAGTCTAGTCTATAGTCTAGTCTATAGTCTAGTCTATAGTCTAGTCTATAGTCTAGTCTATAGTCTAGTCTATAGTCTAGTCTATAGTCTATAGTCTAGTCTAGTCTATAGTCTAGTCTATAGTCTAGTCTATAGTCTAGTCTATAGTCTAGTCTATAGTCTAGTCTATAGTCTAGTCTATAGTCTAGTCTATAGTCTAGTCTATAGTCTAGTCTATAGTCTAGTCTATAGTCTAGTCTATAGTCTAGTCTATAGTCTAGTCTATAGTCTAGTCTATAGTCTAGTCTATAGTCTAGTCTATAGTCTAGTCTATAGTCTAGTCTATAGTCTAGTCTATAGTCTAGTCTATAGTCTAGTCTATAGTCTAGTCTAGTCTATAGTCTAGTCTATAGTCTAGTCTATAGTCTAGTCTATAGTCTAGTCTATAGTCTAGTCTATAGTCTAGTCTATAGTCTAGTCTATAGTCTAGTCTATAGTCTAGTCTATAGTCTAGTCTATAGTCTAGTCTATAATCTAGTCTATAGTCTAGTCTATAGTCTAGTCTATAGTCTAGTCTATAGTCTAGTCTATAGTCTAGTATATAGTCTAGTCTATAGTCTAGTCTATAGTCAAGTCTATAGTCTAGTCTATAGTCTAGTCTATAGTCTGGACTTTAGTCTAGTCTATATTCTGGATAATAATTAGAGTTTTTAAAGTTTACACAGAAGTGCTAATCTCTCTCGATTACATGAAGGCCAGTCGATAACTTCAAATTTCCTCATATATTTAATAAAATATTTGCCCGATATAATAAAAGTTCTCAGAACAATTTGTTTAATTCTTTTCTATTATTCTTACAGGAGAGCGAAAGAAAAACGCCTGAAAAAAGATGCGGGTCGAACACGTTGGAGTCAATATTTCCGTTCGATGAAAGGCAATTGTTCGCCACGCACTGAAAAATTCCTAGACAAAGATGATCTTAAAGTCGATTATGATAGTTTTAGTCATCATGGTAAGTGGAAACTTGTCACATAAATTGTCAAAATTTTAATTAAAATGTATCTATTTTCCTAGACCTAAGTAATGACAGCTATAGTACGGTCAATTTGGGTTTAGATGAAGTTGCCTCGCCACATAGTTTAAGAGGTTCATATCTGCACGGTAGTTCAAGTCCTTCACAATATCCATCTAGTCGTTCGCCACCACCAGTGGGACAAAATCATTCATTTGGTTCATATCCTGACAATATAGTTTATACAAATATAGGTAAGTGTATATCTAAATAAAAGTAAATTGTTAAAATATTTCAAATAATTGATGGTTTGAACTTTTCCAGATCACAATTCCACATCGAATATGCATGGTTCCAAATCACAACGCCTACATGGCGGCAGTGCCGTTTCTGATTTAAGTAATGACTCTAGTCCCGAACAAGGTTTTCCTGATTTTCCACCCAGTCCTGATTCATGGCTGGGCGATGCGGGGAACACCTCAAATCCGAATTCATCAACACCTGCTGTACATTACTGATACTCAAATATACTCTTTAGATATTTTCAAATGCAATCGCGCAATTTTTTTCTGGCTACCCATGGTCTACCGCAATTGGACTCCTCAATAACATCAACTACATTATCCCTACCTGCAGTACATAAATCCGAGCAAAAATCATAACATTTTGAACATACTAAAGATCATGGTAACTAATTGTCCTTATGATGATCAATTTCCAATTATTTATCATATAACAATCTGTGTATATACATATGTACATATGTATGTATGATTCTGCTAAGGTTTCTTTATTTTCGATTCTTATCAGATCATTTCTTTGTAGAGAAAGAAACTTATAAAAATAATTAAATTGCTCAAAAGTTTATAAAATTATTAACATACTGATGAACATAATATACATATAATGTAATGTCGGTCCGAGAAAATTCACGGTTTAAAACCCATAACTATGGTACAAGTTGTTGGTTTAACAAGTCCACTGCTACCGAGAGTTCCTTCCTGGAGGAAAAAACTTTAGTTTTAATTTAATACCGAGTACAACTCAGTGATATACAAAACTATAGACAAGACTATTGAAAATACTACAAACCAGACTACAGACTAGATTTTACACTACACTATTTTATACTCTTGGCTAGACTGTAGACTAGACTATAGGCTAGACTATAGACTGCATTATAGACTACTTGACTATAGACCAGACTATAGGTTAGAATTTAAACTAGATAACAGACTAGATTTTAAACTAAACTAGAATTTAGACAAGACTATAGCCTATACTTTAGACCAAAGACCAGTTTGACAAGACTATAGAATAAATAGTAGACTAGACTGTGGACTAGACTATACACTATACTTTAGAAAAGACTATTGACAAGACTATAGACTAGACTATAGACTAGGCATTAGACTAGACTATAGACTAGACTATAGACTAGACTATAGACTAGACTATAGACTAGACTATAGACTAGACTATAGACTAGACTATAGACTAGACTATAGACTAGACTATAGACTAGACTATAGACTAGACTATAGACTAGACTATAGACTAGACTATAGACTAGACTATAGACTAGACTACACTAGACTAAACTATAGACTAGACTATAGACTAGACTATAGACTAGACTATAGACTAGACTACAGACTAGACTATAGACTAGACTATAGACTAGACTATAGACTAGACTATAGACTAGACTATAGACTAGACTATAGACTAGACTATAGACTAGACTAGACTACTATAGACTAGACTATAGACTAGACTATAGACTAGACTATAGACTAGACTATAGACTAGACTATAGACTAGACTATAGACTAGACTATAGACTAGACTATAGACTAGACTATAGACTAGACTATAGACTAGACTATAGACTAGACTATAGACTAGACTATAGACTAGACTATAGACTAGACTATAGACTAGACTATAGACTAGACTATAGACTAGACTATAGACTAGACTAGACTATAGACTAGACTATAGACTAGACTATAGACTAGACTATAGACTAGACTATAGACTAGACTATAGACTAGACTATAGACTAGACTATAGACTAGACTATAGACTAGACTATAGACTAGACTATAGACTAGACTATAGACTAGACTACAGACTAGACTATAGACTAGACTATAGACTTGACTATTGACTAGACTATAGACTGGACTATAGACTAGACTATAGACTAGACTACTTACTTGACATAGACTAGACTATAGACTAGACTATAGACTTAGACTATAGACTAGACTATAGACTAGACTATAGACTAGACTAAGACGAGACTATAGACTAGACTATAGACTAGACTATAGACTAGACTATAGACTAGACTATAGACTAGACTATAGACTAGACTATAGACAGACTATAGACAACTATAGACTAGACTATAGACTAGACTATAGACTAGACTATAGATCTAGACTATAGACTAGACTATAGACTAGACTATAGACTAGAATAGTAGACTAGACTATAGACTAGACTATAGACTAGACTATAGCTAGACTATAGACTAGGACTATAGACTAGACTATAGACTAGACCTATAGACTAGACTATAGACTAGGACTATAGACTAGACTATAGACTAGACTATAGACTAGACTATAGACTAGACTAGACTAGACTATAGACTAGACTATAGACTAGACGATAGACTAGACTATAGACTAGACTATAGGACTAGACTATAGACTAGACCTATAGACTAGACTATATAGACTAGACTATAGACTAGACTATAGACTAGACTATAGACTAGACTATAGACTAGACTATAGACTAGACTAGAGACTAGACTATAGACTAGACTATAGAACTAGACTATAGACTAGACTAATAGACTAGACTATAGACTAGACTATAGACTAGACTATAGACTAGACTATAGACTAGACTATAGACTAGACTATAGACTAGACTATAGACTAGACTATAGACTAGACTATAGACTAGACTATAGACTAGACTATAGACTAGACTATAGACTAGACTATAGACTAGACTATAGACTAGACTATAGACTAGACTATAAGACTAGACTATAGACTAGACTATAGACTAGACTATAGACTAGACTATAGACTAGACTATAGACTAGACTATAGACTAGACTATAGACTAGACTATAGACTAGACTATAGACTAGACTATAGACTAGACTATAGACTAGACTATAGACTAGACTATAGACTAGACTATAGACTAGACTATAGACTAGACTATAGACTAGACTATAGACTAGACTATAGACTAGACTATAGACTAGACTATAGACTAGACTATAGACTAGACTATAGACTAGACTAGACTAGACTAGACTATAGACCAGACTATAGACTAGACTATACTATAGCCTAGTCTATAGACTAGACTATGGACTAGACTATGAACTAAACTATAGACTAAACTGTAGACTAGACTATAGACTAGACTATAGAAGCGTATAGCTTTTGCACATAATAACCTGAAGCCAAAATCTAATAACACAATCTGTTCATCATAAAAGGTCGGTCTGCACCGACTGACTGTTAAAATTTATTTGTTTGTTTTATTGTTTTACAACACTGTACTTAATATTTTATATTGTTCTATCTCTCTATAATTTTGTTTTAATTATTATTAATTGTAAATAATGTATATTTGTATATTACAAGAACTACTATATTTATTTTATTAAATTTACTTTTTTATTTTTATTAAATTATACTAAATCTAGAAAATGGTATAATTAAAGAAAATGTTATTAATTAATTAAAATAACAATCCAAATTATATAAGTATAAACAAGAAAAAAAAACATAAAAAAGAGAAAAATAATAAAAAACCTTAAAAATATATCCGCTTTATACAATTAGAAAATATCGAAAATATTAAAAAATCAACAATTATAATTTAATATTAAAATAAAAACCAAAATAATATTATGAAAAGTGATGTCATGTTTATATATCTTGTAAGTACGTAATAGAAATTACAAACAAAATATTAACTATTTGAAAATCATAAGAAAAAATAACTTGAATAAAAATGTGAAATTGTTAAAAAAAAATTATATATACATACAAATATGGAAATTTATTTCATTTTGGTTTAGTAATTACTAGTCTATGGAAAAATCTGAATGGTGTAAAGGGTTGGGTTTCTTTTGAGTCATATCTAATAAAATTGGTTCCAACAAATTTTTATTATTTTCACAACGAATAAGATTGGTGGTCATGATCCACATATTTAGAGTAATATTTTCATAAAATTTTATATATTTATAGCTTTATACAATAAAATTGGAAATAAATTAAAGTCGGTTGTCAATATTAGAGCTAGTTGAAGAGAAATTTCGAAAATACTCAAATCGTAACGTCGATATCTAATTATATTAAACGATTTTAGATGGACCAATATGTTTTTAATTATTTTGTAAAGGAGTTCGATAAGAACGCCCCTGTTATGGATATTATAGCAAATAATCGCATTTTGGAGATTTTTTAAACTATTTTACTAATTTTGGGATACGTGATAAAAAAATCTATAGTACTCGATGCAGATATTCTAGAAATTTATAAAATTATCTTAAAAACGAATGATTTTTTAAATGTTTCATAAGTAATTGTTGAATATTTCCTATAAAAATAATTACAGTTTCGATGTTCAATTTAGTGCCACCAATGTTTTTAAATTTGTTCGCTTTAAAAAATGTTTTTAGGTACTAAAACATGAATTTCGTTGATTTACTGGAAATTTGAAGCAAGTTGAAAGCTTTAAAGTAATTTCGGGTGAAAACCTATCCCATGGTCAATTATGGTCCGATCTCTATAAAATTTGGCAGAGAGATTTAAGTTTCCAGAAAACTTGTTTATATCGAATCATCGCTATCATTTTGAAGCAAGTTATGAGCGTTGTAGTCGTTTTCTATAAGGGTGGTAGGGTCAATTATGGACCTATCCTCATACATTTATGGTGACTTTCGTTGATTTACTGGAATTTTGAAGCAAGTTATGAGCTTTAAAGTAATTTTCTGAGAGGAATCTTATATGGGGTTAGGATCAATTATGGGCCGATTAACATAAAATTTGACAGGGAGATTTTTGTTCCTCTAAAACTTGTTTATGTCGAATTTCGTTGCTTTGCTATCATTTTGAAGCAAGTTATGAGTGTTATATGGGGAATAGGGTAAATTATGGACCGATCCTCATAAAATTTAGGAGAGAGATTTTGGTTCATAAAAAACTTGTTTATATGGAATTTCATTGGCATGCTGATATTTTTAAACCAACTATTACTGTTTACACTGTTTTTCGGGGGGCCACTTCTATGGGGACTATGCGAAAACATGGACCGATTTAGCCCATTTTCAATACCAAACAAACTGCATCTATATGAAATATTTATGCAAAATTTCAGCTTCTTAGGTTGGGCTTACAAATCCTCGAAATTTAACCAAAACATTCTATATTATCCTGTACAGTTTGGTATTAAAAATTAGTAAAATCGGTTAACGACATAAAAAGTTATGAGTAAAAATTTCAGACTAATAAAGTTTTCTTCCCAATTCTTAAGTAGTTTTCTCAGAAACTACCAAAGATATTTCGATGAATTTTGTCACACATTATTTTTTTGTGCAAGGGATCAAGTATGTTAAAACTCATAATAATAAAAAAAAATAATTGATCCAATATTTCCCATAGCCCCCATACAAAGGTGTATATTAACGGAAATTAGTTTATCGTTAATAATTCCCTCAAATATATCGGTATCAACACAAAATTTTTTACATACAAATATAATACGAATAGAAATCATACTACCAACGTAGATCTAAGTCGGTCCACAATTAGTCATAGCTCCCATATAAGGTCCACTTCCAAAAATCATCTAAACGCACATATTTCATTGATAAATAAAGCTTTTGTGATAAAATTCGAGCTGAATATGTTTTGTGTACATACAAATCATTCTACCAAATTTCTTTTCGGATCGGTCCATTATACGTCATAGCTCCCATATAAGGCCCATTTCTGAAAATCACTTAAACACACAAATTTAATTGTCAAATAAAGGTATCTTGGTAAAATTCGACACAAATATGTTTCGTCTATATATGAATCACTCTACAACATTTTTTTCGGATAGGACCATAATTGGTCATAGCTCCCATATAAGGTCCACTTCCGAAAATCACGTAAACGCATATGTTTCATGGATAAACCTTTTATACCTACCATCAAAAAAGATGGGGGTATATTGTTTTTGTCATTCTGTTTGTAATACATCGAAATATTGATCATAGACCCACAAAAGTATATATATTCTGG